TGATGATTCTTGAATTTGCCGCCAAGAATTTTGTTTTTCTTGCTTTAAGCTGACTTTTTCTTGATACAAGAAAAATAGTGCTTGGGTTAAGCAAGAAAGTAGCTTATATTAACCAGAAAAATTATTGATTTAAGAAGAAATACTTCTTGGCGGCAAATTTAAGATTTTTTTTTCTAGTGTAACGCACAAGTTAATGTTTACGGTGCGTATTCAAAGCGCAAGACATCACTGACTTTTTTTATTTTAATTTTTTTATTTTTAAACGAAGCCGTATTTAAAACATACGTGCAAGTGAATTAAGCGTAAAACTACAAAGTAATACCTCAGATTTAATCCTACCTCCATTGCACGCAGGCTTTATACAAATTACGACCAATGAATTTAGTAGAGAGCACAGTCACTATTGTATTTGTCATGGGCTTCTCCTAGTTTTTTTTTGTCCTCACGAGAGTCACAGCGTAGTCATCCGAGTTGTGTAGTCATTCAAGTTCGTATAGTTGCCCTACACACATCGATGGCTTAAGTCAAAATATATGTATATGCGTATATGCTGATCATGTAAACTACGTGACACTTCAAGGGGTGGATGGTTTTCATGACTCAGAACTGCGTATACTGGATTTCACCCTTTTTCATTTGACTTTTTAGTATTTTTCCCCTTCTTATCTTCTTCTTTCTTCAAACTGTATTATATTTTCATTACCATTTACTGTCCTCAGTTTTCATTTTTTCACCTATACTTTTACAACATTTCTTCTCATGCGATATCTCCTATAAAATGAATATTTTCCAATTTGTTGCTTCAAATATTCATTTTTTCAATCATAATTGAATTTACTTTATTACCCTGCTTGCTAATCTGAGGAGGCCATATGAACGTAATCTTTCAGTCCATCTTTCGGCGATAGAAAAAATAGATCCTATTGCCTCATAGTATGATTGTAGGCGAACTAATAAAGCGATAAAGTCACCTCGTTACAGTCTTCGCGTATGGTCCAAGTAAGCGGTCTCAATGATACCACTATTCGACCACGCGGGAGCCCGTGTTGCCTACACCGAAAATTGTAGGCGAAACGTGGAGCTAGAAGGCTGAGAAATGATGGCAAAATATCTGCTCTTAGCTGCGAAAATGCAGCGATTAAGGAACTTGAACATTATTTACATCAAAATTCCAATCATGTCGGTCACGGAGATAGTTACAAAATTTTTAATTAAACATCTTCAAGACCTTACAATAAAGAGTTACCCGCTCCAAACAATGCAAAAATCCGTTATTTTGAATACGTCAAGCATCGTCAGGTCGTGATTACTTCAGATTGATTAATATTTATGAATGCACTTTATAATTTTTTTTAATTGGTTACTCAATGTTTCATTTTTGTTTGTTTTTTCCGTGCGCTAATATTCCTTTCATGTATTAATTTTCGAGGAAATATACGTATACTGCTGACTTTGGCTAGTGGCTCGTCAGTAGTTCTTAAACCGGAAGTGCTTCCTCTTCCGAGATAAAAAAAAAAGAAAAAATAACCTTGACACAGAAATTCACATCGATTACACGTCCATTCATATTCTCAAATAAAATTACAATTCTACGATTTGCCTGTCACAATGTTGATTTCAAGCAAACCCCAGAGAAAACGTGCAGAGCCGCTCATTTTACATGTAAACTAGAGTAATCCCATCGATAAATCTCGAGAGGATAATTGTTATAGGAAGAAAAGCGGGGGAGGTGCACGGCGCGCGGCGTTGTAATATGATTACGTCGCGATGACTAATAAATTGGGTGACGTTACCGTAACTCAATTGCTGAGCGGCGACGCTAAAATCATTATTCATCCCGATTTACCCCAAGGATGAGTCCCCCGTCGACGCTCAAGATCTTGGCCTCGCACCTATTTTCTTCCCGGCCAGTCATTACACCCTTTATTTCCAAAAGAAGTTGATAAATTGATCATTAAACTGCATTGTTTCTTTCCTTTTTAATATTTCTTTAATATTTTGTATGATAAAAATATTTATATTAATTTGATTTTTTAAATTTTGAGTGTTTAGTTAAAAGGTCTCTCCTGGTCACGTTGAAATATTTAATCTTACATTTCATTGTAATTGAGTTTTTTTCCAACATTTCAGCGGATTTGAAACAAATATATATGGGCTAAATTGTGTCTTCAATTCCTCGATTTTCCCTGTTTTATCTCTAACCTCATGTCCTATACGTGGTACTTAGTTTTTTGTATAATGAAATGAAAGTTAGATATCTTCAAAGTCGATTGGTTTTTCATGATAATACAATGTTATAAAGGCAAGTACATATAACTATTTTAATTTACTTTATGGGTCAATTTATGGATGCATTTTTTAAGATTTTTTTTCTTGAATGATTGAATACTTTATTTTAGGAGTTATCTTATTTTTTTCACTATCAATTTTAACAAATTCTACTGTTTGCTGTAATGTTATTTTATGGCAGTTTTAAAAAGTATGCGTTTACACTAAATATTGGCCTCTGTTTTATCTTTGACCACAGTATCAAGGTGCCTCTCAAGAATTTAAACTAACGCAACGATAAAACCTGATATAATCATTAAAAGTAATTTTTTAAAAGAATGTATAAAATTTGATGATTCAGCATGAATTTTTTAATCATTTGAAGTACGGAAACCGGTGGTATCATGGTGAAAAAAAGATCACGATATGAAAACTGAAATAGAAGGTCCTCATCCTTAAAACATCTGTGATAACTATGGAATCACTTAAAGCCGGTAGAAAATTCAAACCATTTTCCGTTTTGAAATAAACTGATGAACAGAAAATTGAATACATTTACTCAATCAACAATTAACTTTTTCTTGTTTTCCCCTTCTCTAACCCATGAAAAACGTCAGAAATTTTTGCTGAGGGCCGCTTTTATTACACACCGTTGGCTAAGTTATAGATCAATTTTCTGTAGGGAACTTCGCTCCAACTAAAATAATAATTTCTAACCTCGTCCCGACCCATGAGTATAGAGGGGTCTGGAGGTATGGAGTACCCCTCTGCATGAAAAGGGTTCGGGGGGCCTCCCCCGGAAACTTTTAAACTTCACCGAGTGTGGATCGATGACTTTCGTTCATTATCAGTTTTTAGTGTAGGCAACACGAGCTCTCACGGGACCGAATAGTAGTATCACCCATAGCAGTCATGATCTTGATAAATGTGGGAAGACAGAGGAATAGGCTTAACCGCGCGTTGAGCAGTGACTTTAGCTCATTGTCTGTTTGCCTTCAGTTCTCAGTGTAGGCAATACGAGCCCCTAAATGGTCAAATAGTGGTATCATCTTAAATGTCCCGCTTATTCGGAACGAAATCGTTAGCCCTTTTTCGGGCAAAGTAATCAGCTGCTTGTCGGTTTAGCGCAGATAAGCGATGATAGCGATGGATAGCGCGGTGTTTTAGATAGATTAATCGTTTCTTCCAGCCGATTAAGGGTTCACGATCCAGTCAATTGTCGTTCAATCGACATATCCGACCACCAAAACTTAGGTTTCATTTTGGCAATATTGACAATCACATCCAAATTCTCGAACCTCCTCACGAGGTGGGACCTATTTCCTTCATTTCAGCAGAGAGTTTTCTCTTTTGAGTCGCAACCCTGCAGATCCGGTCGGTAAAGTTGACCCAATCCACTCACAAAAATGGGTCAGTTGCGTTGATCTCAGAATCATATTTTGATGCTTGATCCTTGTAGTTTAGCTAATAATAATAGATGGGTCTAGACATCAACTTTCTGCGTTGAATATTAATCGAGATATCGCGCTTTGAAAAATTCGGTTTATGACGTCATCCAACTTGATAGTGGCATTCTGTGGATTCCTTGGTTTCTTCCACGTAGCTTTTATCAGTCCTGGAGACACACATTTGTTCTGGTTACTCAACGTTTAACTTGGATGAAAGCAAGGTGAAAGAAGCCAAGGGTGTCACCGTCGCGGTGGATGACGTCATCAACCGAATTTTTCAATGCGCGATATCTCGGTTAAAATTGAACGTAGAAAGTTGCTGTTTGGACAGATCTTATTATTTTCAGCTAAGCTACAAGAAACATGCATCAAAATACGATTCTGAGATCAGGCTAACTGACCCATTTACCTATGCTGCCGTGCTATGGAAGAACGCCGCATGATCCTTCAGACGTTGCCAAGTTTCCTCCGATAAAAAACCGAATTTACTGTGATTATTGCGAATATTATTTTCCAAAATTTTATACGCAAATTTAACAAAAATATCTAAAATTTTCCAGGAAAAATATGCATAAATGTTCTCAAAAAAACATATTTTATCAAGGGAAATTTGGCAGCTCTCAAAATTTCATACGGCGTTCTTCCCTAGCACAGCAGTATGGGCTTGAATCTAAAGGTGAAAGAGTTCGGAATTACCTGAGTTGAAAGAGAAAAATGGTGTCATCATCGCGGTGAATGACGTCATTAAGATAGTTTTTTCGTCGATTTTTTAAGGCGCGATATCTCGCTTAATATTTGAGGTAAAAAGATGCTGTTTGGACTGATCTTATCATTTTCAGCTCCGCTACAAGAATCAAGCATCAAAATATGATTCTGAGACCAGCCTAACAGACCCATTCACCAATGGGCTTGAATCTAAACGTGAAAGAGGTTGGAATTACCTGAGTTGAAAGAGAAAGAGGCGGAAAGATTGGCGGGAAAATCTCGATTAATATTGAACGTGGAAAGTTTCTGATTGGACGGATCTTATTATTTTTAGCTAAAGCCCGTATCAGACGATCAAAGTAGAGGCTTCAAAGAGGTTCATCGATGCCTTTTCTGGCTCTCTCATTGGCCAGCGGTTAAAATCAGGCCAATCGATGAGTCTCTTTGAAGCCTCTACTCTGATCGTCTGATACGGGCTTTAGCTACAAGAATCACGCATCAAAATACGATTCTGAGACCAGCCTAACAGACCCATTCACCAATGGTCTTGAATATAAACGTAAAAGAGTTGGAAATTACCTGAGTTGGAAGAGAAAGAGGCGGAAAGATTGGCAGGAAAATCTCGGTTAATATCGAACGTAGAAAGTTTCTGATTAGACGGATCTTATCATTTTTAGCTAAGCTACAAGTATCACGCATCAAAATACGATTCTGAGACCAGTTTAACTGACCCATTCGCTTGAATCTAAAGGTGAGAGAGTTGGTAATTACCTGAGTTGGAAGAGAAAGAAGCGGAAAGATTGGCGGGAAAGAGGGCGCGAATGTTGGACGCCACGCTTTTGGGCGACACAGTGGTGGCGGGAAAATCTCGATTAATATTGAGCGTAGAAAGTTTCTGATTGGACGGATCTTATCATTTTTAGCTAAGCTACAAGATTCACGCATCAAAATACGATTCTGAGACGAGGCTAACAGACCCATTTACCATTGGGCTTGAATCTAGAGGTGAAAGAGTTGGTAATTACCTGAGTTGGAAGAGAAAGAGGCGGAAAGATTGGCGGGAAAGAGGGCGCGAATGTTGGACGCCACGCTTTTGGGCGACGCAGTGGTGGAGCCTAGGTACGAGGCCCCGTACTCGATGGCCTCCTGCAACTTGCCTCGCAGGCCGCTCTGCTCCGCTTCCGTCTGAGCTGCATCGATCAACGTCTCCGTATCCTTGGCTAGATCCGCCGATCCCGTGCCCGTCGCCGTTGTCGCCTCCGTGGCCGCCGTCGCGGAACCCCGAGTCACAACACAAACCACTCACCGAAAACACTCGATAAACTCGCGAAACTTAACAATAAACGGATAACTGCATTTTATTAACAACTAATTAACAAGCGCGGAGCCAGGAGCATCGCGTGGACTCGGACAAACCCTTCGGAGGGGATGACGGTTGAGGTGAAATTCCGTCTGGACGCCGGGAAAGCCGAGCGGAGCTGCGAACGCTGTGTGAGGGGATTCCTGAAACGCTCCCGCTCTGCGATTGGTCGCCGGGTAACGTGCGCCCCTCCGGCGCCGCGCTCATTGGTCCCTCGCTAGGGTAGCTTCCCCTCGGAGCTTTCCGCGCGGCTTTCCGTTCTCCTTCTCCTCTTTCTCTCGAGCGCTACCACTCTGTTCCCTCGTGCCATGCCGCACGCTCATCGGACCAGCTTCCCGCCTCCACCCCCGACACCATTTTATCATTTGTATCTACATTTTTTAAAATTTGGCTCTCGACGCCCACGATTTTCCACGGTGACAGGCTATTTTTCCTAGGTTCCCTCCTTGGGTTTTTGAGTCATTACCTCTCTCATCATTTCGTGATTTTCTCTGCCCCCCCACCTCTCGCTCCCTCCCACTCTCGCTTTTATAATCCTATTTTATGTGTATTCGTCTTCGAGGATGTAATTTTTTTGCAAATTATATTTCCTCCGTCGATATCGGCTCCTCTTGAGTTCATGAGTCGGGTTCTGAGAATTCGATTTGCGTCACTCTTTGAGAGAGCGGGTGGGAGTTTAAGTTTATCTATTTTTAATTCATTTCAAACGAGGTCGCTGATTCGGAGACCTCTTTTCTTTGAGGACTAATTTTCAACGAGATCTAACTTTTCATGAGACGAGACACAATGCATTTCAACAGCCCCCCCCCTCCCTCACGCAGAATCAGGAAGCAGACATAAGGCTATTGTGAAAGTAAACTTTTCACAAACATCATCTGTGGTTAAGTTAAATGTCTACATGCAGCCAGAGGCGTCTTTTGGTAGAAGCAAGAGGGGGGGAGGTTGCCTCCCTCCTCCTGTGTTTCCAAAAGCGTTAATAAACGAGATAGGTACATTGATCGAATTGCTGAAAACTTGATTTTGTTCTTTACTTACGTAGATATCGTGTCAGGGGTCATGTCAGATCACTTGTCGCCCAAGGGTTTTGGTAAAATGACGTCATTGCATGCAGGAGCCTTAGATCTGGAAAAATGTATGCAAAACTCGATGTTTAATTTTTTTCCATCCTCCAGAAAAAATTAATCTTCAATTAATTAAATTTTTCTTTGATTGATTTAGGTGAATGACATTAATGTGTTGTATTATACCATCTGATTTGACATGAGCATAAAAACTTTCTTCCTTTTATCCACTGTATGATAAGAGCAAGACATAGTTCCAAGTTCAATACGACGAATTTGTTAACAAAAGGAACTCATGGAAGTAAAACGTTTGCTATTTGAAATCTTTAACACAATATTCAAGATCGGTGACGCAACACACACAAACACTGTATAATCTTAAAATATATTATTCAAGCCCTGGTAAAAATTGACGATAGGAGCTGCGTTTCAAAATACCATAGGAGTTCTTATAGCCGACTGAAGAAGGCGATAGAAAATCATATAGCTGGCTGTAGAAAGTGGAAAAAATCATACGGCCAGGCTACACGAAGCGATAAAAAATTAAGCAGTCGGGATATAGTTCCTGTTGCCGGGCTTCACACTTTATCGCTCGGCTGTTGCTTTTTCACCATCGGCTATAAAAGGCTATAAGAAATTGTGTAGAACTTCGTGTGCTTTGTAAATCCGCAAGTTTGTACGGAATCACCATAATATTTACAAAACGCACTTTATATTTTCCTTTACTACATATTTGTTTTCATCAATTAAAATGAGAATAATCCATACAGAGTGTGCAAACATTTCAAAGTCATGAGTTGAACACCGTTGACTCCACGAGATTAAATATTAGAGCCTAACACAAAGCGGAGCGGCGGCGCACTGGCGCCTACAAACCTAACAGGGATACTTCACGCACTGCGCAATGCGTGAAGTATCCCTGTTAGGTTTGTAGGCGCAAATTTTCGCGCTGGCTGCCCGCCCGCCGCGCTGCGCCGCAGCGTACCACGGCGCTTGAAGCAACTATTTCACACCAGAGGTATTGCATAGTATCGTACGAAATTGAAGGCGCTCCAACATATTAGGAATGGCAGGCATCCTTCAAAAGTACGGAGCTTCCCTCGCAAAATAAATCAAGATATTACGGCCCAAAAAGAGAGCGGTAGTCCAAAAACTTACCAAGTCCTAGCATCCGTAATTAGTAACGGATAGCATACACTTTATCGTCAGGCTGTTGCTTAATCGCTATCGGCTATAAAAGGCTATAAGAAATTGTGTTGCCGTCTATAGAAGCTATTGGAAATCCCACAGTCGGGTGTAGGTCTATGGTATTTTGGAACACAGATTCTACTGCCAATTTTTACCAGGGAGGTGTTTTAAGGGACTTGAAAGCAGGACAGCTTCATAAGCGTTACATTGTTTGTCTCTTAAAAATATTTGCAGAGGACGATAACTAAAGTAAGTTTTGAAATCGGCACCTAAAATGGAATAACTATCGTTGTAAAATAAATTAAACGATAGACCGTAGTCGCTATTTTCTTTGAAAACTTGATATCATTTGTGCGCAATGAGTATAAAGCTGCCTGGTTTTCTCGGTTCATTATTATGACACGTTTTATTTAGTTTAATAGACCGGAGAGTAGACTAGTAGACTGATTTTAGCCGTAAAGAGGACTTCGAGAATTACGGTTGATTGATATAGGTACTTGATGCGCCATACTTTATCATCTGTTTTTGGAGTCAAATTAAAACTGCTGTGTAAATCGAAAGTTTCTGTCAAAAGGCTTTTTTCGGCGATACAGCCCATCAAAAAGATGTATTTTTCCCGGAATCCGCTCATAAATATTTTCCAAAATTTCAGTGAAATTTGAAAACCAGGATTCATTTTTCACGCACTCTTTATGGTGTTTTGTGGTTTTGAAGATCTTCGTTTCCACGGAAAGGCGGTATACAAGACTAATATATAAAAACCAGTTATGCACTCATTTTTAATGCAGAGATCTTTCCCACCGCCTTTCCATAAAGAGCGTAGACTTTCTATACCACAAAAATGAAGAGCTCGCTGGGAATTACTTCCAAGCAATATAAGTCGACTCAACTTTCACAGACATTTGACGCTTTGAAAAGCGTTATAGACGAATTTCAGAGGAAAATCTACCAATTTGACAGGCTCAAACGCCAGTAAAAAGAGTTTTCAGAGGAACTTTCGTGCGGCAAAAAAGTATAATTCCGACCCCAAAAACCGACGCTGTAAGTACGGGCGTGTCTACTTCCAGACATCCTGTATGACCAAATGTGACTGTGAAAATCAATTTAAGTGAAATGTAATTCATTGCTGTCGAGAGAGTAGAGAGAGAAGTGAAAAAATGTTCAACTCGCTAAGTGGTGCTCGAGAACTCCATTGTTCGTCAGGGGAACTTTAGAAGTTAGTTCCTGCTCTTCGTTTAGACTTTGAGTCTGACAAAAGGTCAAGTGACTCTCCTCGAAATGTGACACGTTTCCCGGCGGTGGTGCGGTAGAGAAGAGGGGTGAACGGGGGAGGTCTCAATTCGAGATAAAACAGGTCGCTTCCTGGTTCACTTCAGAGCCACAATGTACCCATGCAGGGATCTAGGCTTGATGGGGTGTAGAAAAGGCATCACCCTGTCGACAAACCCAAAGAATCCCCCAAAAAATCAACATAGCGTGTGCAGGTAAATTAAAATCTGGTGGTCTGTGCACTGACAGTATATTGGCTATTCCTCAGAAAACTGCAGGCAATACAAGGACCTATATTATGCAAAGCGAATTACAAGAGGGTCCCGTGGATATTTCGTGCCTTTAAAAAAACAATGTACTGATTGGACAATATTTTGCGATAACAAACTAATATTCTTAGCTCAGAACTTACTTGAATATGGAACCCTTCAATGTTTCTAAAATGAGCCAGAGATAGTAGTTTCTTATTGTAAAATGCGGTCCCATTTAAATGCATCTTCCTGTATTCGATACATCGTACGATGAAAGGAATGGGGGAATAATGAGAGAACACAAATTTCAACATTGAACCAGCAGTCGCACAAAAGTTTACGACTAAAGCAACATGATCGAGAATGTAGATCCAGAAAATTCATATATAAACAGGAATGTTATACATGCAGACATGTCATATCGATAATAATTTGATTAGAAAATGAAGCATTGCACCCAAACACAATCCCTGACTTGACTTTTTATAGGAATATTTAACTATGCCTGGAACTTTTATTTGGTATATTTTTGCTGCTTCAAGCAGCGAGCAAAGCAAACAAGCTGCTGGTTCCAACACTACTGTGTTGGAGAGCTCGCCTTTGGGAAACTATTAACAACTATTAATGATTTTTTCTGAAATTGTATATGTATTAAATGAATCTTTACCCAATTATCAGAGGTTACATGCCGATGCAAAAGGTTATGACGTAATTTCATATGACAAATTTTTCACATTACAATAAATAAAGAGAAATAAAGAGAGAGAAATGGAATTATCTTTTATGAATGTGATTTTGCGGCAAATGTTGCAATGGCTATTTTTGCCATCGCATTTTTGTTTCTGGCTTTCATCGTTGATAAGCTTTTTCTTAACTTGTCAACAATGTAATGAAATCATATGATTTAATTTTAATTTTTTTTTTTTTAAATCAAGTCGCCAACTTGAATTAAGGTTATACTTTGTTAAGCTGGCAGTCTGGAATTCTGAATTTTTATCGGCACAGAGTTCAAAGAAACTATAATTTAGCACGGTTTGGAGGAACGTTTCTGCCATAATTCTTACACAATACTTATGGTATACACTAAGAGCTGAAAAGGAATTCACTTGAATTTTAGCGTGGAGCTCGAGAGACCACTTCAAGCCTTTGTATGCGAGTGGCTCAATGGAGCACATCACGCCTTTGTAGGTATGGGGTGGCTCAATGGAGCACCTCGCGCACTATAAATAGCACGGAGCTCGAAAGAGCACTTCATGCATCTGTATTTTAAGGTTAAAACGAACTCTAAAGAAACTCAATGCGAGGCTCAAACGAATTCTCAAGCATTCTAAATGCGAGGCTCAAACGAATTCCCAAGCATTCTTGATGCGAGGGGCTCAAACGAATCCTAAAGCATTCTTAATATGAGGTTTAAACAAACTCTGAAAGGATCCCAATGCGAGTCTCAACCGAGCTCTCAAGCATGCAATTATTTTGAGGTTAATTAACCTTCTATGGTACCAATAACGGCAATCTTAAGGATTATCCATTAATTATGCGCAAATCTCAATCTTAGTCTTAGTAACTTAAAATTAATTGAACAAATTATTAAATCACGTCGAGGTCACCATGTTTTTTATTTTAAAAAATAATAACAATTGCAAGTACAACTGCACACAAAAACTGCATTGAAAAGATAAGAGGATGATAACATACAATTAGGTTATTTGATATAAAACCATAGCAACATGCTATGATATGCTCGGCCACTGGAAAGTGCTGCTCTCTAGTGTAGCAAACGAGGAACAATTAATCCTCAGTTGAATGAGGGAACGGAAATGTTCGACGGAGGAAAACTGTAACCCGCGAAAATTCAACTTTTAGACCTTGAAATCAATGGGATTTTGGCCGTTCCTCCGACGGCAACGAGAACCATCCATTCGTCGCCACGGACACTACCAATGCTAAAAGAAATCGATCGCAAAGAGCTCTCCCGAGTGGGCGAGCTCAAAAAGGATTTTTAAGTTCATTCCGAGCCTTTATTGTTCCGAAGACACCAGGAAGGCGTGCCTGACGGACGTATGACCCCAGACAAAATTTTTCCTTCATTTTACATTAATTTGTCACTTTTGGAGACTGCATGTTTTTGGACTTCCAAAATGTTCAAAAAGTGCAACCCCCTGCAGGCAGTGTTGTATCAATGTGATATTAATACGGAATAAACGAGAGAGCAACGATACAAACTGAAAATTCCTCTCGCCTCGACACCTAGCCAGTTCCTTGATTAGGGAGTAAACTCGACATTAACATGCGAGGCGCAACCTTCAATTCAGAGGAAGGAGATATCCCGAGGGAGGAAAATCCCTCGCAGACAACACAGCGACGCTGCCGAATATGACTGTAAACTAATCATTTCCTCGTCCCTTTCAATTCAGTCTCCTTCTCTCTTTTTTCTCACTTCTTTTTGTTTCCTCAATTCTTCCTATTCTTAAAAATGTGCCTTTAAGTGAACGAAAAATTATTTTTATTTTTTTAAATTTATTTTTGTAGGTATCTTGTCCCGAAAATCCATCGGTGTTTCTGTGCGAATCCCAGCCACGATCATAAACATTGATACATTCTTTTTTCAATCTCTTCCCATACAGTTTTCCTTATCTTTCATCCGTATTTTCAATCCTATCTCCTCTTAAATCTGTATCATTTAGTAAAGAAGCAATTATGTATTTGGAGTTTTTTGCAGCTTTATTTTTGATTTTAATGCATGCTTCAAAACGACGCACACATAATTCCTTTTGCTATGCTGCTCAATGTTTATAAGGACAGCATTCTCCGTCAGATTTCATTGAACCAATGATGTTTGAACAAATGAAATCAGAGATTAATCATTTTTCAAAAAAAAAAAAAAAAAAAAAAAAAAAAAAAAAAAAAAACTTCCTCTCTAGTTTTTCTCCCAATATTCAATCCAATATTCCATTGAATTAAACCATCGCCACCGATATGTTTGTGTCGATAATTTTCACTAGCATACGAGATGAGGCTTTTGCATCAATATAACTTCTGAAGGAGGTCGCTGAACTTGCAAATAATCCCAAATGTGTGCCCTCGAAACGTTTCCGTTGGCATGAGAGTCGCGCTTGTTGCATCACTGATTGTGGAAGGCTCCTATGTCCTCATGCCAATATTAAGACTGGCGATGGCGACTGGGGAAGCAAAGACTTTGTAAGGAGGTGTCTGAGGCACAGTTGGTGACTTGCCCGGACTTTCCTTACCCAAGTTTTTGGGTTATTTGTAGGTTTTAAGGAAACAGTTCGCTGAACATTCATTGATCCAAATATTTTCCAAGACGTTAACACTTTTGCGAGCACATTTAAAATAGATAAGGTATAATTTCAATAGGAAGCAAAAGTGAGACAGTTGATGAATGCACACTGTCATGTTTGATTATTTTCTTTTATTTAAAAACTGTATACTGTTTACAAAAGAATATAAGTTACATGTAACGTATCATGAACATACAGAATTTGAAATAGTTATCGAAGACAACAAAAATTCATATTATTTTTAACTCGAATATTATAGGGCACCAAAGACGTTGCACTAAAAAGAAAGTGTCTGTTTAAAACTCATGATCGGTATGCGGATCTGCTAATTTTGAGTGGAATATGTTTAAAACATACAAGGCGGCAACTATTTGTTTTTAATATGCAAATCACAAATAACTAAAGAAACTTTTACCATGACGGTGAGTAATGTTTCATTTTCATTTTATTTTCTTGTTTGTTTTTACTCATTAATTTGCAAAGCATAATGCAAGAAAGCATATATTTGTACTTGTGTAAGTCCAGCCTTAACGTGAAACGCGGCTTCTCTTTCGTGACTAAAGCAAGGGGAAAGATGGTGAGAAAAAAGTAAACGGATTCTACTGTTTTGGTAGGAGAAGGGTACACAGAATTCCATTTTATTTTCATCTTTCTCGTTTTGACAAAACGCCAATCTGTTGATAGGCATTTAAAAGGTAAGTAAACAATACCGACTACCATAAAAGGTAGCTTTGACCTACGAAAAATTTTATCTCCAAAGGAAAAAAATGCTGGGCATATTTCTCGTATACTTTTTGAGACGTAAACAGCTTATCAGAAAAGTTACACATCGACGGTGAAAGTCGGCAGTCACATAACTCGGTTTGCGACGTCGCAGACTTCCTGTCATACTTTATTTTTTAAATGGAAAACTACTCAACGGCAATTCTTTAAAACTGTAATGATTTTTCTTCTCAATGCGAAGAAAATTCTGCAAAAACTTCAAGAAATAATATCAATTTGTTCTCCTTTAAAAAAATGACGTAGAGGCGGAGATTTTCAGACACCACAAACGAGTTATGTGATTGCCGACTTTCACCGTCGACATACTGATAAATACACTGAAGTTGTCTTCTGCAAATGCAGAAGACAAATTCAGTATACATATCTGCACTATTTCATCCCTGCTTTGAGCTCAGGATATCTTCAGGTTCCAAAATGTGTGACTCATACAACAGAACTCGTACTACACTACTGCTACTACTAAAAAGAATTCTACCCTCAAGATGCGATGGTGAATTCTAACTTTGTAAATAATTCCTGAATCTCGTAGATGGTCTAATTTGTTTGCTTAACTTTTTCACTCACCCAACACCCTGATTCAATACTTGCCTAGTTAATGCATACAGAGCGTGCGTCAGTCCTAGGATTGCGATTGAAATTTCGCGTTTAATTTCACGAGAAATAGCCTGAAATTCCACTTTATTGACATTTCACGGGCAAATTTCATGAAATTGCAGGTGAAATTTCAAATTCTCATTTTTCAAGAAATTTACAACGCAGGTCACGTCAGTGTCCTAAAACAATCAAATTGATTTTTCGCGAAATGTACATATTTTTCCCTCTATCAAGGCATTAATAAATTCGAGACTGTGTGGTCTAAACATACAATCTTCAGGATCAGTGATGGATTATGTCGAAAGTACATACTTTCCTTCTTTTTTTCTTTTTTTTTCAAACATTATTCTCGGTAACTTCGGTTTCGGACATTTTTAGGTACTTAAGTAAATATATGCTACTTCATAATTGGCAGACGCAATTAAAACAAAGAGGAAGAAAGAAAAAAAAACAAGGCAATTAAACATTGTATGAAGTAAAGTCAGTGACTTTTATTTACAAAATAACTCCACAATAGTTCACACTTATCGGTAAAAGTTGCGGCTTTAGCCTTTCGATTCCAAAAATATACATGGTAGGTAAACAATTTCGTGTCAAAAAGGCACATTATTCTGAGTGATGTAAGTGCGTTTTGGTAGGAAGGCAATTAGGGTAACTTTAAGTAATAGTTGTCTAATTGGTAACAATTTTAAGCTCAGGGCTGTTTGAAAAAATCATCACAGTTAGAATATATTCTGATTGCACTTAGTTAAATGTTTTGTTTTTTTTTTTAAATTTTTATTTTTATTTTAATAAATAGGTAACTTACTTTCTACATCTACATTACGGGAGAAATTATTCTTCTATATAAAAATATTTACTCACTTTAAACAAATATCTCTCTGACATTCTCTCGCGATGAGTCAGTGTAGTACGACATCGTTTGGTCGAATTTTTTTCATTTTTCTTTGTTTTAACTTAAGACAATTTACAGCTAAATTACATAACATATAACTGGCACTTTTTTCGGCTGTACAAAATTAAGTAAAATTTATTCAAGTAAGGCATGGTAACACTTTTGATACGAGTATCTCCTTTTTTGGAAGGAGTATTCATTGAGCCTTTCTTCACCCCCCCCCCCCCATCCTTCAATTCCCACGAAAAAAAAAATGGAAATTACTTTTAAATGACCTGTAATTTGAGATTAAAGGGGAGAAAACTTGTCTATGTGACTGAGATAAAGTAAATGTGTTCAAAGAAATAAAATTTGCAACATTTGTAGGTCTCAAAGGTATCCTCGGCCTAAAAAAAATCTATGGCGTCAGGAATTCATGCTTTACCACCATATTGAGACTACCATTATGTTGATTGGACTCTGTGCTCCTTTCATTATAAGTAGCCACATGTGAGTCCAGTTGGATAGGTAGGCAAGTTTACAAAATAATACGAGTTATTCAAATATCACATACACAAAGCGTCGGGTCTGTGGTTGAAGTTCTATCAAAGATCAACAATTTCCGCTACGGATTTCTCTTAGAAAATAAATAATCTTAACATATGTGAATGACAATCAATGAATGGTGATTATCTTTCTGATTATCTCTTGACATTAATTTCAGTTGGAATTCAATTGAAAATGAAGTACGTGAAATTCATTCGAGGACAGATTTCCGCAAGAAGACGGTCGTAAACTAAAAATCTTACGTACGATTGGAACTACATCATTACGAGGGCATAAATATACGTACAAAGAACAACTTTTTGATTTAGTACTGTCTTCAAATATAGTACAGTGCATCTCTTACGTTCAATTTTCTTAGAACGGGATGGACATGGAACAATGGCTAATCTTAACTACTGGAGTTCACTGGATAAAGAGTCTCTTGGATTCAGATTCCAGACTCATAAAAAAGTTGACAAAAAAAACTCTTGATTTAATCAGATTTTTACTTGAATCGAGAGCCAAGCCTCTTAATTTAAACAGAGTCCCTTTCGATTCGAAAAAAAATTCGATTGATTCAATAGTATTTCTTCTTGTCAAATTTTTTAAGATTCTTGAATCTGGATCCAAGATAATATTTTGCCCAGTGTTGTTTGGAAAAGACACTGATAACTGAGTTTTTCATAAAATTAGCATGTTCAATTTTAGTCGAATTGTGAACTTGAGTTTGTGCTGTTCATGACTAATGGTAATGTAAAAACCAGATATGAACTGACATTCTAAATCCTGCTACAAAATTTCATCAAATGAAGAATTCAAAGCAAGTTAATGCTCTTCGCAGATATTAGATGATAATAGATTGCATCCACCTTTTCGTGCACGTATCATGCGAATGTTTCCATTGACCAATGCATCCGGTGAAACTATGAGCTGTTGGTCTGAAGATTGAAAACATTCAGTAAAAACGCTTTATATCTGTCTTTTTGCCGAAAGTCCAACTATTTTCAGTGGCGCTTTTTTAATCTTTCAAAAACATACTCCTTCTTTTTATCTCTTCATAATCAGGCGTCTCATTTAGTTGTCCATAGCTTCAGCAACGAAATCTGTAATAAAAACATTAAATATTTTTAAAAAGGCGTACTACATGGAATAGAGGTAATAAAATCGTCCAAAAAAGAAACATCGCAAATTTAAATCCATGAAAAACTCAGCATCGACTTACTCCATCAGTTATGTATGGCGACATAAAATATCATAACCACTTTTCGACTAGTAAATGTATCCACCATTGCTGTCGTAACCTTGCTGTCGGGTTTCAGGCACACCGCCATTATTTGGTTGAATTTCGTTGTACTTTGTATCGTCGGGTGATGGCAAATTTGGTGGAGTCGATGAGACAGGCGCTGAGTCCAGGCCATTTCCAGGAAATCCTTCTCTGGTAGAGCTTTGGTCAGAGTATGAGCTGGAACCAGATTGTTGCAGACTACTATATTCACCCGAAGATGCCCCAAAGCCTCCAGCAGACCCCGATTGTTGTGAGGAATCATAGTCCACAGAGAAAGTAGAGATAGTTTGTTGCTGGAATGGCAACGCCGGGGATTCAAAACTGGAAACAGCAAACGATGCCCATGAAGGAGCCTCACCCTGCAGTTGACTCGAAGGTGAGCCAGATTGTTGCTGTGATGATGAATCATAGTTTTGTAAGAAACTCGATTCTCCTTGAGTGGAAGACCCAAAGTTTTGATTTTGACTTAGCGCCTGCCGGGATGGAGGCAAATAATTTTGAGTGGGACCAGCCGGTTGTTGAGGTTGTCCAAAGTTCTGAGTGAGACTTGGTGCTTGTTGCTGAGGCAGCCCGTAACTTAGACCTGGTTGAGGTTGAGGGGGTTGAGCAGGTTGAGATGGTTGTGTCGGTGGAGATGGCTGGAATGGCTGGGATGGTTGAGATGGTTGAGACGGTTGAGATGGTTGGGACGGTTGAGATGGTTGTTGCTGTGGTGGCCCATAACTAGGAACTGGTTGAGCAGGCCTAGTTGGTTGAGATGGTACGGGCTGCATTGGACCAAAGTTAAATGATGGCGTTGCAGGCTGGGCCGGTTGCTGCTGTGGAGGCCCGTAGCTTTGGGAGGGTGACTGCGGAACGTTTTGCTGAAAAGGTGGCGATGGACCAGGGCTTCCGTTTAAGCCCTGTTGAGGCGGCACGAACGATTGGCCACCTCCATTTGGACCTTGCTGAGGTGGGCCATAACTTTGAGAGGGCCTGGCAGGTACATTATTTGAGCTTGGTGGGCCACCACTAGGATATCCATTTGGAGTAGCATTTGACGTGCCGCTACCACCATTTGACGGGGGTTGCCCATTGGTGGGCCCTGCTGGTTGCGGCCGAGGATAAGAATATCCTGAGTCCCCTGGACGGGATGGGGCTGTTTGTTGTCGAGCTGGACCTGGACTATTAGTTTTAGCACCGTTGATTAGTTCAGATATACTTGCCAGAGTCTGGGATGGTATTCCAAAACTGATTGATTGGACGACAGGAGAAACTTCAAACGACTGACCTGCAAATTTATTAGGTTTCGCCGTTGTGAATTCTATTGGTCTTTGCGTATTATACTGCGCACTAGTTAGCCCAGAATTACTAAAACTAGATGAACTACCGGGGTTAACAGGAGCATTAGTATCTGGTGGCAGGTAGTCTGCGCTCGGAGCTCCACTTGACTGATCTGTAAAATCTGGCGTGGCACTCTGAAGTTGTTGGAAACCACTTTGACTCAAAGAATTTGATGAAAAAGAGGGGGATGGAAAAGCATTCGTGTATGCACTGCTGGGGGGATTCGATGTTTGGGGTTGAGTGGGCTGATTTGGTGACGGATACGAATAACCTTGCGGAGGCTGAGGAGATCCGTTACTGGGCGGTGGAGAGCTCGGTAATTGTGGAGGTCCGTAATTGGAGAATGGCGTTTGTTGGGAGTTGAAACCGTTCGAGGAAGGTAATTGCTGGGTTCCTGGATTCTGGCCGAACGTCGGTCCAGGAGTTTGTGCTCCACCTAGATTCGTTGATGAAGGGAAAGATGCCGGCTGAGGGGATGAATTTGCTATTGTGTTATACGAATTAGTCGGTCTTACAGAATTACTCGTCGGCTGTTGTGGAGCACCATAGCTAGGCGAGGGAGCCTGCGGCCGTCTGGGAGGGCCACTCGTTGCGGGGCCCCGGGTTGGTTGTGATGGTGTATTGTAATTATACCCTGATTGAGAGTTTCCTCCACCCTGGGTTGGCTGTAAATCGGGGACGCCGTAACTTGTGCTTGGTGGAACGTTGGGTATACTGGGCCCGAAATTATTTGAAGGTCGTTGTGGTGGAGATGTAGGTGCCGGATTAGGGGAAGGATAAGAGTAACCAGGGAAAGATCCAGAGCCAGGCGTTTGCCCCGAAATGCCATTACCGTTTCCATTCCCGCCAGAGCTGGGTGTTGGAGTCTGAGGCGCTGCTGGGTAACCACCGGTTGGCCCTGCTGGTTGCTGAGGTCTTGAGGAAGGATACCCTTGGAAAGTTCCTGGTTGTTGCGGAGTTGACTGAGGTCTTGCTGGAGTGGGGCTGGGATAGTTGTATCCGTTCTGAGAGCTAGATGGTGGAGAGCTCGGCCTCTGAGGACTGAAATTATTTGAGGGAGGGCTTGACGGATTTTGAGAAGGAGCGGGGTACACGTATCCCCGAGTCCCTGATGTAGGTTGAAGGCCTCCAGGATTCGGACCGCCTGCTGGTTGCTGAGGTTGGTTTTGAGCTGGGCTGGGATAGTTGTAACCTCCGCCCGATGATTGCGAGTTTGGTGCAAAATTAGCTTGCTGACGATTAGATTGTTGCAACGATGGAATCGTGTTGTACGTGGCAGGTGCTGCAGATGTTGTTAGAACTTGTTGAGGGAAGGAAGAGAAAATGTAGCCAGCAGATGACTGTGTTGGAGGAGGATAGTTATAGCCACTAGAGGTTGGTCTCTGTCCTGATGGTCTGCTCGGGGAACCTTGAGTTTGGGGTCCGGGGTAATTATAACCACCAGATGACTGTTGGGTTGAGGTTGGTCTTAAGGAAGGATAAGGGCCCTGTGAGCCTCCATTGCCATTGTTGTTAGGGCGTGTGGATGGAGGTGCAGAGTTAGGCCCTTGTGGAGGACTAGATGCTCCGTTGATGGAAACTGGCTGAGGTGCTCCGTAATTGTCTACTGGCACTTGATCAGGCGACGCAAAACTGTTTGTTCCTCCAGGCCTCTGAGGAACATTAGGCACTGGAGATGGCTGATTTGCGGCTCCGAAAGAAGGAGTCAGAGCATTACCAGGTTGAGAAGGCCTCGGATAATTGTAACCCGTATTGCCTCCAGAGGGCTGACCACCTGGCTGAGAGCTGGGTCTAGGGGCTGGTTGAGTGGGAACCCCATAACTAGGAGATGGGAAACCACCCGGTTGAGGACTTGGTCTTGGAGGTGGTTGACTGGGTGCTCCAAACGTAGGTGAGGGCAATCCATTTGTCGGTTGACCGGATGCTGGGTAACCACCTCCTGATCCACCCGATGGCCTTCCTCCGTTAGGCTGAGGACTTGGTCGTGGATACTGGTAACCACCTCCATTTCCTGGTGAACCTCCGCCATTAGGTTGAGAGTTGGGCCGAGAGTTTTGGAACCCGCCTCCGTTATTTCCTGGAGTAGGTCCACTTGGCTGCTGAGAGGTAGGTCTCGGATATTGATACCCTCCACCATTTCCAGCGGAGCTACCTCCATTCGGTTGTGGACTGGGTCGAGAGTTTGGATATCCACCACCGTTTCCTATACCATTTGACGTGGGTCCACCTGCTTGTTGCGGGCCGGGCCTTTGATATTGGTATCCACCTCCGTTCCCTGCGGGAGTGGCTCCATTCGGTTGTGAGTTAGGCCGCGTACTAGGGAAACCTCCCCCATTCGTTCCAGGCGCTGGTCCACCGGCTTGACCATTGGGCCTCGGATACTGATATCCTCCACCCCCATTGGATTGAGAAGGTCCGTTTGGCTGACCAAATGTCCCTCCCTGGGATGGTCCACCTACTGGCGTCATAGGTCTTGGATAATTGTATCCTGCAGGACCATCAGGTTGAGAAGGCCCATTGTTTTGCTGTGTGTTTGGTTGTCCGTTGGGACCTGGATACTGATAACCACCGGCACCTCCTGAGAACAAAACCAAAAATCAATTTAATGTCAGAAAGGAGGTTCATTTAATGATTATATGAGAAAAATGTTTTATAAATTCCGAATAAAGGAGATTTTGCCACACAATGCAGCCCTCGGTAATTTGTCATTTTTAGCCGACAAGCAGTGACATTCTCTACAGCAAAGTATAAAAGTTAAAGGGACTAAAGAAATCAGACTGTTGGGTTGAATTACGAATAACTGGGAACAATTCCTCAACCGCCTAATTTCAGTAATAATTAAAAATTGTCCAAATTAGTAGAGTCGAAGCAGCTTCAGGGGTAAAATCACGCTCAAAGCGGTAGTTCCCGACAGAGGTCTTCACTACTATGAATCTATATTATGTCTTCTTTTTCGATCCGTCTATTACCGTATTTCGAATTATTTCATGCAATAAATGGGAATGATATGCTTCGGCTCTGGTTTTGCGAACCGTGACACGCACGCATACTACGCACATTCCTGTGTACAACAGTGCGACTTCGTTTATTTCGTGTCGGCCAACACACCTCGATACAGCTCTAACGGGCCGTTGAAATTAGAAGAAAGAAGAAGTAAAATAAATACGATCGAACGTTTCCACAATTGTCGAAGACAGTGATGAAGCCACAAACTAGCTCAAAATAAGTCGTTGTGCATGATTGCCGAGTTGTTTAGTATAAAAATGGTTCTCCCGCCATAAAATCAATGTAAATTCAGTGGAATGGGTCTTTTCCAAGTGTTGCAGGCAAGAGATACAGCCAAGCAAACATATTTCCCTGAGGTAGATGAAATCACAAAAAAAAAAAACCTCATTTTGCGTAGTTCATGACACACTTCTCCGAATTTTCTATTTCCCCGAGCAATATTTTTTTAAGTCGCAGCCGGCCAGGTTCTTACAGAAAGAAAAGTTAAGACACCTAACCCAAATGAACATTCTCGCACAATTTTTCTCGCGTATGATTTTATTTCAATAGTCAACGAACATTACTCTTCTTGTTTCTTTCTTTTTTTCTTTTTTTTTGCAAAAAAAAGCAATATAAATTGTAATCATAGTAAGTAGGTATACTTTTTATCAATTCTTGCGTTTGTTTTAAGGTTGCGTTTTCTCGTGTCTATCTTTAGGCAAACCTAATTTCCGGTAGGTAGCCAGAAAAAGGTGCCCGTGGACCAACACAGATTTTGACGATGCAAGTTAAACCACGCATATTTTGCAGTGAGGAGTCAATTTTAGACTTTCTTCGTGTGTTTATTATAATTTTCGTGCGATATTATCCTAAGCAAATCCATGTAAAATTGGCTGAGTCTCATATTTGCATCAGGTCCAATATGCACTCAAACAAGCAACCCTGATGCTTAAATGCGGGAATCATCTTTGTAGATGTCTGAGAGAACTGACAAACTTCAACTTCTTAATCATTCAAAACAAAAAGTACTTTCCACTGAATCTTACAACTCTGTCGACGACGAAAATAGACGGTTCCGTCAATTTTCCGACCCTCTCCCGGGCACTGATTTTTTCTATTTATTTACACTGAAATATTAGGCCCGGTTGAGTATAAATGACACGGATTTATTGAAGAAATTGCGGGGCACGAGATGTGGAGTGGATTCGAGAACGCATGAGCCATTGTTGAAGCGGATAAGTGTTAAACGTGTCACGCGCGTTCTTGGCGTTGCCACAGCCTACTTCCGCATGCATTAACCAGAATTTTGTATAGATTGTTTATTTGGTCAGTGATGCCAAACAGTACATTAGGTCATCAAGAACTGCCGAGAAAAACCTATATTACAGTTTGGAATCATCTCCCGTGTAAAAAATCAAAACTTATACGGATCGATTGTAAAATTTCTTGGTTTCAGAGAATTGTTTTAAAAAATCCTCGAATATCATCTATCATGATTTAATGCTTGCATGCGTATTATGCAGGTCCATCGTGTATTCGTTCACAAGATCAAAAAAAAAAAAATTATGTAACTTTAAACATTAGCCCCGAGTGATTATCGCAAATCAAAAGACGTGTAACAATTCGTTCTATTCACTCGCGGCGTAATTTTAAAGTTATTCCAAAGTATTTCATGGAAATTATTAAAAAACTCCTAAATTCCAGAAATATCACTCAATCGGTAATGAAATTAGTGTGCTCCGAAGTTCTGAAGAATCATCTCAAGTGTACGTATTTTCCAGATGAACAGGACCTATTCCCTCAATTTACACTGAAAAAAAAAAAAAAAAAAAAAAAAAAAAAAAAAAAAAAAAAAAAAATTACGGGCTTTGTAGGCACACCGACACACCGCCGATTCTGGGCTCAGAGGTCTAAAGTTCCGGGTGCTGGAGCTGTAGCTTCGACTGCGCCGGCTTCAGTGGCCGGAGCAACGGGTGCTTGGCCCGGAATTTATAACATCTGATCCCGAAACGGACAGTATATGTTACCCAGCCAATTTGTGCGGCTCTCAGGCTCTCACAGCTGGAATTTTTTTTTCAGTACATCAATTTGGTTTTTTGAAGGAGGCTACTTTCATTCTGCTTAACTACAGCTCCTTCCGTCGTGCTATGGAAAAACGCCGATGTCAATAGGAGATGTCGGACAAAATTTGGAAACTTTAAACGCTCATAACTCTGTTTATCCAAAACTTTGAGGTTCCAAAAGGGGTTCCATAGGTTTCATCGGGGATTTCTCTTCCAGAACCACTCTTTAAAATTTAAAATGTGATGAACTAAGCATCAAAATTTGCAGATTTAGTAAAAAATTTCATGTCCGACCTCTCTAATTGACTCGATCCACTGTGCGCCGTATGAGCCTTCGGACGTCGCCAATCGGACGTCTCGATAAAAGAACAAATCCTCGAGGAAACTTATTAATATCATTTCTTTAAGTCATAATTTTGCAATTCAATCTAATTATTTAAAAACTTCAAGGACACATATTCATAACCTTTCTCAAAAATAAATATTTAACTGACTCTTCAAGAAATCTGGCGACGCCTGGATGATAATACGGCGTTTTTCCGCAGCATCGCGGTGTTGGTCAATGACGCACTAATCCCGCGGGTGATACATGCTGTAATCCTGTTTCATCACCTCACATACGACTCACCTTGCCTTTTTACGATGTTCCCGTACGCGGCTGAGAAGAGACATAATTGCAGGAATAGTAGCAGCACTATGCTAATCTGAAACAAACGAAAACAGAGGCAAAGATTACTCAACTTTCCGCCGGTTTGCCAAAACACCATTCCCACACCTTTCATTCTTAACAAGCTGCCGCCCCCCCCCCTGTTCGTCTCCACTTGTTTGACCTTATTAGATAAATAGGATCCCGCTCTCCGGATATCTTCATCTTTTCACAGGGTGACCTTCGTTGTTTAGTGTTTAGCTGCACTTCATCGCATCTTCAAATCTGGGCCTATTAATTGGATTCCATCTCGCAAACGGGAACCAAGAGTATTGCGATGTCGCTAAGATAGTGCAACGTATGTACCTTGCAAATGGATTGCATTTAGAAAATAAGAACCCGTGCGATTACAGTGTTTTCAAAACTGTGCAACTTCTTCTTTTCTATTAAAAATACTCCATACGAGTACACTGAGGGGAAAAAACATATTGGATCTAGAATCTAGACTCTTTAAAACATCGACAAGAAAAAATACTCTTGATTCAATCAGATTTAAGCTTAAATCAAGAACCAAGCCTCTTAATTTGAGCGGATTTCCTTTTGATTTAAGCTTAAATTTGATTGAATCAAGAGTATTGTTTCTTGTCAATGTTTTCAAGAGTCTGGACTCTAAATCCAATGTGTTTTTTTTTCCCAGTGTATATCGACGGTGAAAGTCGGCAATCACATAACTCGGTTTGCGACGTCGCAGACTTCCTGTCATACTTTATTTTTTAAACGGAAAACTACTCAACGGCAATTCTTTAAAACTGCCGTGATTTTTCTTCTATGTGCGAGGAAAATTCTGCAAAAACTTCAAGGAATCATGTCCATTTGTTCTCCTTTAAAAAAATAACATAGTTGCAGAGATTTTCAGACACCGCAAACGAGTTATGTGATTGCCGACTTGCACCGTCGATATGTAATATGTAATATGTGTATATGTATGCATGTGTATGGTGGAAAACAAAGAGAAAATGTGAGAGATGTGTATGTGTATGTGCACTTATTTTCCTTAAAAATTGATAATTTTTTGGTGGGAAGCAAAAAAAAATTGCTGTTCTAGGAAATTTTTTAGACAGTTGTGAAGAAGCAACATCTTCACATCACTGTACTCACGCTTATTCCTTTTTGCAAACTGCGATCAAAATATAAGCTGACCATTAAAACAAGTTTTATCGTCACTCCCAAGGAACTATGAATTCAAGATGAAAATTGCCTTTCTAAATAGATTATTCAGCATGATTTCAGTAATTTTATTGCAAAGAATGTAAGTTGCACAATCCTAGCAACATTTGAATGCTCTTGATTCCTTTTTGCACGATACAATCCAATTGGACCGACTATTATCCATCGTGGAAAATTTTTAGCAATACCATAATGTTGGCAAAACCCATATTTTAAACTAATCAGCTGGTTAGTTCAAGCTGTCAAACATGACAGAAAAGTCCCTCAAATTAGGGAATAGTGGAAAGAAAATGAGCAGAACATATGTAACATAAGTTCCATCCTCATTCGATCAGGCAATGCGATGTGTATCAGGCTGTTATAATTTGCTTACTACGATTCTATTGACAAGTTAATTCTCAGCGCTGGATATAACTACGGTAACTTAAATTTTTCATTCGAGGGAGGCAGTAGGAGTGCCTTTCGGAAATGCTTTCAGATATTGAAAAACCACCTCTTTTCCTCGCCTTGGTCAACAGTAACCATCGACTGCATCGGGCCCGACATTGAAAGGTGACATTGAGAGTGGGACTTTTTGGACGCCCTGTGACTATGCGACCGAATTGGCCGCAGAACAATTGCATTTCCGTGGCCTGGCTGTAGTGATTCCGCTGCGCGTTTTTGGAGGTGCTGAACAATTGCCGACTTGCTGACAGGATAATTATTTAGCCGTTCTCCTGCAGTGCCTCATACATGCGAAGCGCGATTGTGCAAGAAAAATTAAAAATCTAAAATTATTTCGCTTGGTAATACTTTCATACTCAGAGAACTCTGAGTTGCGCTGCCTATGGCAGTTGCATTAAACTCTGGTTAAATTATGGATAGCGTTAAGCAAAACAGTCACATCTATATTCGGAGTTTTTTTTTATTTGGACTGGTGGCATATGCTACAGTGGCGTGGCGTATGCTTTCCGATAATCGATTGATTTGCATAGCTTCGAGTGGGGTAATATCGATAATCGATAATTTACTCCTCGCCTCTGATATGTTAGATAGCACGGGAAGAATATCGATTTGAAAGAGAGTGGTAACAAGCTCGGAAAATGGGACGTACTCGCCAAAATCACCCAAAACTCTATGCAACTTCACAGCCACTTTGGTGTTTTTAATCCCTCTGCAGATGTAATTTGCTTAGGCAATTGTCTAGTGCCATTCCCTTTTGAACGTCATTTAGTAATACGGTTACATCTGCAAAACTGTCAGAGGAAAAATTTTCTGAGTGCTGAAAGCCACCCAGGTGGCGATTTCAATTTCAATGGTTTGTCATGTAGAATTTCTTGGGAAGAATTATTGCATACAACTTAATGTAGCTAAACATTCACTGAAAAAAAAGTGAAAGTGGGATTGACCATAATGGTATAGTAAAAAAAAATATGGTGATAAAAAGCCAAATAATGGTCGATTTAAGCATCTAGATGAAAGTGAGAATCATACTCGATATAAAAATTACCATACCCGGATTGTAAATATCAGTTAGGTGTGTCTGTCCATCGTTTAGGTATTTCTCACCATCAGCTGGGTATTTTTTACCATACGATGAGTTAAAAGTATGGAATAACATGGTAACACTTGCGTTTGATATCTGTAGGCATCTGTATGCGACTGGTCATGGTGTTGGTAGGTTAAATTTACCATACTGGTATAGTCATCGTGGTGAGAGCTCCCGCTTGACTGCGCTGCGGTCTGTGGTCCGCCATTTTTCGTTTGTCTGTTTGTCAGTTATACATTTATCACGTTGAGGGTCGGAGTCCGTGGCTGTGTTTTATTGATCCATATTAATCCATGTGAATCCACGCGTAATTTGCCCAAATTTGTGTTCGAATTGTCCCTAAAGCTACCGTCTTCTCTTCGAATCTATCTATATTGATCTGCCACATACATTTTCTGAGATTTTTTCGTTATTTGTATCGACCAATTTCTGGAGGTTAGGAGTTGCTACAATGAATCTGGCTTGCAAAGTGAAGGAATCCTGAAAATTTGAAAACCTTCGCAAAGTTGTTCTGCAATCCAGTGAATATCGGTTCTGTGTAAAGTCATTTCGAAAACATAAAAGTGCGGAAGTAATTTGAAAATAATCGACTAGAAGTGATTTTTGAATACTTCGTTCGTAGGTATATCTATATTCTTGTTAAAATTTTCGAAGCTCAACATGCTCAGATGAAGAGACAAATGTGCGTGGGATTGATGTTTAACTGTAACTTTAAGCAAAATTTGGCAGCTTCTGCCCCACCGTGAACCGTGCGATTGGATTTTCATGTAGTGTCTTTTTGTGGGTATATTTTGAACTATCTATTTATTATATGCAATTAAATTTTCCGTGGATCTGATTTAGTCTGTAAATGATACCTTAACGCGAATAACAAGTATGGTTTTGGTATCATTTACTTGAAATCAGTGAAGCAATTAACTGCTATTTCTCGTTGAAACTGTCTTTAACTGCCATTGATTGTGTATGTAACGGAATTTCTAAAAGTAAGATGTAAGTAAAATATCCACGACTTTCATCAAAAGCATTTAATAATATAAGATGAGTGGATTTTAGAATCTACAAGGTTTGTCGCAGCATCTGGATGCTTGAAATTACCATACTAGTCAGTCGGGAACGCCACACTGGCACTGTGTCGCATAGTGTCAGCCGTATCGTGTTATTTACCATACCGGTATATTGGTAACTATGCTGCAGCTTCACTGTGTAAAAAATCAAGTAGACAGTATGGTAAATAACACCCAAACTCTGGTAAATCCCACCGATTATTTTTTTCAGTGTTTTTCACATTAGAAATAGGCTCTTTTAAAAAAGGTCGAGAGGTAACATATGTCTAAACATATGTAACATATGTTTAAAGATACATATGTCTGGTTTGCTTAATACTATCCAATTTTAACCCTAAGCTGCTGGGTAATAATAATTCAGGCGACAAACATGATGATAACAAAACGGAATAAATGCAACTTAGCGAGTAATTACGACAAAAACGTGTAATATGGAAGCCTAATCAAACGACATAAGTACTCAGGCAAGCTGGGCCTGATTCAGCTTCGTGGGTGTGTGCCAAAGAACGCATCAAATTGCCTTTCAAGGAGGTTTAAAAGAAAAAATTAAAGATATGCGCAGTCTGACAAACGGAAATTTTCATTTTTCGCGAATCGGACAATTTCCGAAACGTCATCACGCGCACTGTAAGAGCTTAAAAACTTAAAAGTCTCATTTGCGCGCTTGAGGACTTTTGAGATTCTTATCGGTTTGATAGGATCTGCTTAAACATCGATGTTAAAAAGTGAAATCTCTCGGACGATGAGGCAACTTGGCAGGCAGAGGCTCGTCTAATTAGCAGGGAGCTCGGCCGTATCATAATTCGACTCCGAATTCCAAGTCCAACCAAGGATAAGGATCGTCTACGTTGGGGACCATTCTTGAACTTTTCTATTTCACGCTCCTGTGGCTTTGCGTCGTGTTCCCAAACAACCAGTCAACAAAATTCGGCTTCCTCAAAACTGTTTGTCAAGTGCTTGGAACAATATTCAACTAGCTCAAAAGCACTCTTGCCCGGTTTCATCGCCTCTTGTTACTTTGGTCAAACTTTGACAAGCACCAAGGGTACCTGTTGATGTGGATCTTCGGATTTAGCGCAATACATTCTGGGTGCCATCTATTTTTTTCGAATTTAACCATTAGATCAATTATTTTGAAAAAAATCCAAAATTTAGATCAATCAGTGAGGAATGTTCGACCGTACCGAAAATCCCTGGTAAAAATTGGCAGCAAAATCTGTGTTCCAAAATACCATAGAC